AAAAAGAATGTATGAAAATCGATATCACAATGCAACAAAGTTCATCAGCACCGCCCGGGAATAATGCTGGTAAACCATAATATGCTCGAATGGTGCTGGCAAATGCCACTTCCGGATTGTAAAAATCTTGTCTGGTGGCTGAGTACTAATCGTCAACATTTTTGAAAAAGTAGATTCTTGGTACATTCCCATGGCAAGTACATGAAATCGATTTTTTTCCGTATTAATGTAGCTCTATGACTCCTGTTCGGAAAAGTGAAACACTTTTACAATTGAGTCATGAAGTGAGTCACAATATGACTCATAATCTAGGGGATTCACGCCAAATTTTATTTAGCAAAATCTATTTGTATTATTTAAATCATGTAAAATTCACGCTAGATTTCAAATATTTTGTATTATTTCCCGAATGCGTTGTTATTGTTCATATTCACCTTGAACAATATGTTCTGGAAGTGGGTTTTGGTGGATCCTCAGGATCGTTCAAAACTGATCCCGGTTCTGGAAGTGGGTTTTGGTGGATCTTCAGGATGGATCAGACTGGGTTTGACAATGCCCTGGTCCATCCTGAGGATCCACTTCCAGAACCAGGAGCGGTTTTGAACAATCCTGAGCATCCACCAAAACCCACTTCCAGAATTTTTGAAGCGATAATGACGTCAACAGATTAGACATGGTTCTGCTGACAGTCGGTTTATTGAACAAAATTGAAATTATGCATACATATCTGTTTAATATGTTGAAACATAAACAAATTCATATTATTTGTTCATATTTTAAATATGGAAATTGGCGTGAGTCCCCTAGGTCATAATCGAAGTCATTCATTTGTCCAAAGTGAGTCAAACTTGATGTGACCGGCTTATGTGTCATAAAAGGAACGAATTAGATTCTGACTCCATTTTAGAGGCGATCGATAGTCAGTCGAATCAAAGAATCAGAATTGATATGACTCATTGAATGCGTGAGTGTATTGGAAAGTCATGACTTTCTGTTTTGCGCACCAATACTGTATGTAGATTTTTCATGACTGAAAAACCGAAAATTGAAAAATTGTCTTACAAAAATTCAAAATCGTCCATACAGCCACTGTTTTATAGTTAAAACGATCTCATAGCGTTCCATTGAGCATATCTCAATAATTTGAATTGATAAAACATGCGAGTTAAAAACAAGACCGTTCTTGAGTTTTTAGTTACTTAATCTATTTTGTTGTTTCACAACAAACTATTTTTTGGCGCACTACATGAAATGTATTTCATTAAAGTAACTTTGAAGTAATATATTTATTTGTAAAATAAATTACAAGATCTTGGTTAAAAAAAGTATCTAAAAAAAAGCAAATTTGCGAGCGCAAAAACCTAATATATTTACAGCGAGCGCTAAAGCATAACAGGCCTATTAGCATGCAAACTCCGTATAAGTAGGCCTGTTATGCTTTTGCGCTCGCTGTAAATATATTAAATTTTTGCGCTCGCAAATTTGCTGTTCGCCTTTTGACTAAAAAATTTCTGTGTTTGTGTTCTGCGCACAGGTTTTGTAGGAAAGGTTTTTCTTCTCAGGCCGTCATATAGATTTTCAATATTGGACCTAATTAAAATGTGTGGAAATCTATTGTGGAAATGCGCCTAATTCTATTTTTTTGGCATTAAAAATGTTTTTTTTTGGGGAAATGAATGAAATATAAAAAGTCGCATAAATCTTCTTGTTTATGAACTTATCGGATAGGTTTTGAAGCATTTTGCTGTTGAATGATGTCGACTGACCTTAGGAATTTTTAAAAACCAGTCGTAATACTGGTCCGTCGGAGTCAAATCTAATTTGGTGGCCAGCGTGACTGTTGTGAATTTCTCGTTGTTCCAAATAAATCCACAACCCGACACTGCTGCTTCATAACGAATGTTTGGTTCGATTGCAATTGGTTGCTTGAGAACGGCGTGATATTCACCACCTCCGGTTGATGTCATTATAAGGCTCTGTAGAAGTTCGGTTCCATCGTAAATTGTTATACGCTCGTTATTGTCAATAGAAATTCTAGAAATTCCGCTGCAATGAATTGCGATCAACATAAGACTTTTAGTTGACGTGAAGAATGATGAAAGTGCTAGGAGCCGACGGAAATAAGAACGGCCAACAATAGTTCGGCGATCACAAACCAATGTACGTGCAGCTGCACCCAAATCTGAATTGTCCAAAAGACCACTGTAGTCAGCCATAAACTGCACGAATTGTTCCTTGTTCAATTCGGCAAACGGAATACAACCGATTGATTGTCCCAGTTGAGCTTTGAGATTTGCTGGAGTTCCCGTAGCCGTGCAGTATACGACTACGAAGGGCGCGTAGTTGGATTACGCGAGGCACGTAGAGCCTTTTTGACAGCTTATAAAGACAGCGAATAGATTATTAGTGCTATTAAGTATCCACAGTTTTTTGTTGTTAATAGTCATTTGAAATTTATGTTAATAATTCGAATTGTTGAAAAATATTTTTAATTCAATCAAAATATCGTAAAAAATCATCTCACATAATTTTTGTAATCTATCAGAATCGATTTGCATTAGTCAAGTTTGTATACTGGAGAAGTGCCTCCTTAAAGAAGCTCTTCAACTACACTTCAATTTTTTCCAAGAAAATGCGGCCGAAATTGAGGACAAAAAACCAAACTTCTGCAAATGCGATCAACATGAAACTTTCAGAATCTTATTTTTTCTCCAAAAAATGAAACCTCAGAAAGTTTGAAGCCAATCAGAATCGATTAACGGGTACCTCCCATACAAAATTGTCCAAGAATCGGTAATTTTAGTCAAAATTTCATAAAATTTTGTATGGGAGGTACCCGTAAATCGATTCCGATTGGTTTCAAAATTTCAGAATCTTATTTTTCTCCCAGAAAGTTTGAAGCCAATCGGAGTCGATTTACAGGTACTCCCCCTACAAAAGTGTCAATTTTTTGACGTTTTTCTTAGGGCAAGTACCCCAGGGTCAAATCGAGAATGGCTTATCTTCGAACTTAAACTAAGTTTATTGGATACAAAACTTTTGACGACGACAACGACGACAACGACAACGAAGACGGCACACAAACGGAAAAGTGTCTCAAAAAGTTTTCTACGCGTTTCATGAGTTTTTATGATGATCCAAGCTAATTTTGCGAAAAAAGTTTTCGGGACCAATTCCTATACTTTCCTTTGACACGTTGTGTACGGAAAAGTAATATTTTGGTCAAAAATAAAGTCAAGGATATTTTATTAACCTCAAAAATACTCTTGTCAATTTTTATGATAATTTTTAATTATTTTTTATTGGTGTTTTTGTTTTAATTTTCTAAATGTCTATCTAAAATCAACTTTTTCCTCATAATTTATTTTGAATATTTTTTTAAAACTTATATTGTTGCATGCTCTCTGTAATGGCATGGGTTAAATCAACAAGAGGAAACTATACATACTTTTTCTTGACCAACAACAAGATATTTGACAAAGAGGGCGCTTTCTTATGGACATTTCTATGTACTGCTGTTGGCACCCTCTTTGGAATGTTTTAAGAACTAAGAGAGTTTCCTATCATTGGGTTAAATTATGTTAGATTAAAGAATGTGACAGGCACACGGCAGCCGAATGATTCAACGGTCCAAAATCATTGTTCATATCAACTCTGCCAGCATTCGACAATGCCAATTAAAACATGTGAATTGAAATAATTGAAGCTAAGGATTGCAACTTGCAAACATGACAACGTCGGCTACCAAAAAGCAGAAAAATGTTATAGAGAATTTATTGATTTATTTAGAAATATTATTATTTCATAAATATTGTTGCACTGTAAATTAAGTAATAGCTTCGATCACATGAATGCACACACGGAAGAAAGGTTTAGATATTCGCTACGCCCAATTTTTTTTTCTTGAAAAAAACCAAAATTTGACATTTCTCAGACAAAATTTATTTCGGCGCCTCCATTTTACATACATTATGGAGGTTCGAAAAATAAATTTTGTCTGAGAAATCTCAAATTTTGGTTTTTTTTCAAGGAAAAAGAATTGGGCATAGCGAATATTTAAACCTTTCTTCCGTGTGTGTGTGTGTGTGTGACTCCAATACGAACAGAAAAGCATTGTTTTCAAAGCACATACGAAATTTAATCAATTTGGCTCTCATTTAAGATGGTTTGAATTGTAGCACATTCAATTAATATCGATAGAATACATTTTGCTATGGTTTTGGCTGATAGCCAACTTAGCATTTTTTACAACACATCGACATTTGTCCTATGATATTGATCGATTGAGACTCCAAATCATAAATTATGATTCATAATACATTGTTTAAATTGTATCATATTTTTTTTGGGGAAATTAAAGGCTATTTTACTTGTCAAAGACACCAAATCTACTGAATTGTTCGAAATGATCTAATGAAATTTACTTTGATGCAAATCAATTTTTTTCCTTGTTTAAAAAAACTTTTCAACCCTAAATTTATTTTCGGCAATTTAAATTTTCAACAATTGTCTTTGAATTCTTTTAAACCAATTTCATATCAATTTAAATCGATAAAAAAAATTATCGTCGATGAAAAAATCCCGTATGGTATATTTTCCTTTTTATTCAAATTTAGCGGTTTTGTTGTGCTTATGGAAAAATTGTGTTCAGTGACAATTAAATAATGTCATTCTGCACTGCAGAATTTCCAGTCGAAATTCTTTTATATTTGAATTAAATCCTATTCAGATTTTGAATGAATGATTCACTAGTTTTTTTTTAAGGTAGTCATTTTGTTCTAGCATGTGAAAGAAAAAAAATATGTCGTTATTTTATTCATTGCTCATTTCCATTCACAATTTTTAAGACGATAAAATTTAGAACTTCTGAGAAAAAAATTATCAAAACTATCATAGTAGAAAAAATTGTATTAATTTTGAAGCAATTTTTGAATGTGATTTGATTTGATTTGACCTCACATCAAGTATTGCTCTATTTTCAATAATTTTTTGAACCAATGTTTTTCATTAACGGTAATAAATTTCCGAAGAAATCCTTATTTGTCATGCTTATTTTTTACTGTTTTTCTTCTGTATTTCTGAAGCTCCAATGGCGCTTTCTGTTTCGCTCTCAAAATCGGTCTTCTTAGGAATAATTGTTTGAAAAACATTTTTTTTTTAAATTATGAAATATTTTCTAAATCATCCTTTTGAGGACTATTGTTCGGTTTGAGTCGATTTTCAATGTTACAAACATTGTTTTTTCTTCGATTTTACAATCGGAATCAGTTTATGTGTATCGAAATTTTAGTTTTCACAATTCATGTGTCGATTAAACTAATCAAATGTACATTACTTGAATGTTGAAAGAGTGCAAAAAAAACACTAAAAACTAGAAAGAAATGGTTACAAAAAAAACAAAATTTAACGTAAGTCTACGTTTATTCGTCATATTCGTCATGCAGTTCTCTTGCGTTAATCCGTTGCCTTGAAATATTCAGCATTTGTTCGACGAGCTCAGCGAATGGTTTGCTGTCGTCAAATTCGGTTCCGAGAAGATTGTGTTTGTTACACATGAATCCATTTCCGAAGATGACCTATTCAAATTATATTTAGTTTAGTTGATTGGCATTTCAAAATTTTATTCAAATTTCATTACCGAAGTTTTCCAGAAACGTGTTTGAAGCAGGCGGCGATACAGCGAATCGGCATCCTTTGTAATTTGATGTACGTTCACTTGATGATCAACAAAGTCAAGCATTTCGTTGGTTCTGAAGTTGCATTTTCCACACGTGCTGGGGAATGTGTGGTTTGGATCGGCCAAATGGTTTAAAAATTCATGCAAATCAATGATCGACTGACAACATCCGGCGACGATTTTCACGCTGGAAATGAAACAAATTCAAACTTGATATTAAATTTCAGAATTGAATTGTTCTTTTCGATCAAATTCTGTTCAATTGAAAAATCGCAACAAAAAATTCAATTAGACAAATCCACAAAATAAGCTACTAACCTGTGACTATCGAAGAACGTTTCGTACTTGATTTGCATTCGATGATCGTGGATAATGTGGCTCTTAATTTCGCCTAATGTTTCGCACACCTTCACACAGTATGCGCACTTGTGTTTCTTGTGTATGTCGATGGCGAGGAGTTTGTTCAATGTTTCATCGGTGAATCGATTTGGATTGTTGTCGATGCTTCGCAACACGAGTTCATGTTCGATTTTCATGTGATCTGCCAGATCATGGCCGGTATAATCGCAAAGTGCGCATTTTTTGTTGTCTAAAACGCTGGTAATGATGAGTGGTTTCTGTGAATGAACTTCGTCGTGATGGCGCTTCACTTCATAGAACGATGCAATGAGATCACAGTAGAAGCATGACACAAATTCGATGGCATAAAATTGGAATGGCCTAACGGCTGGTGTATTTGCATGTGTCAAAAACCAGTGAGCATGAACATCGTTGACACTCATGAAAGCTACGCTGGCCGACTGGTTAGCATCACGACAAGTGGCACAATAGTACACAATGTTTGTGTCAAAAGTCAAATTTTGTACGGAGAATTCCTTGTAATTATGAATCCGGCTGACATCATGCATGTATGCGTGGCCGAGTTTCACGGCAATTTCATGCATCGGATGATCTCGATTGAAGTGCTCGATTAGAGCGCTCCTTGTTTTCGGCATTTGATTGCATAGTTTACAGTTCAACGATCGTCGTAATACAAACTTCTTCTTTTCAACCGGCGTAAAGCAGCTTGTCACACCATCAACGATGGTCCTCTTTACCATTTTAACGACCTCAAAATCGAGGTAATACGATTTATGTGCCTTAATAAAGTGATCGTTTGCTTCGTTGGAATGTTCAAAACGTGCATCACACACATTACACTGAAACCAAATGGTGCACTCTTGCTTCTCGATCTCGCCTTGTCCGTGTTTCTTGATATACCGATACGTTAGCTTAGCGCCTTGTAGTTGGACATGACCGCTGTACGGATAGAGAATGCGTGCCTTCTCGCCATAGTGAAAGCGGGCCATGTGTTGCAGCATGTCATATTCGTATCCAGTCACCATTTCGCACAAACAGCACTTGTACAAATGTCCGCCGTGCAATTGGAAATGATTGCAAATATTGGTGATGAGCTGTCGATTCTTTTTTTCAATCATTTTATCGCAATGTGGACACATGAACGATGTATGGGTGCTGTGATATTGCTGAAAGTGCCTTTTGAATTCATTCCCATTGACATATTCACCGCTGCAATTTTCGATGCTGCAAACAAATCGATTTTGTTCCGCCACAAAGGCGAACGGTTCAATGGACCAGGTCAACGCTTCAAGATCCGGCAGAAGAGTTACACTTAGAATATTTCGATTGAAGTTGGGATCGAGAGCGTTGTGTTGATGCTCCATAAAATGTGCCGTCATCCTTGACTTGTGCACTTGAATGTAATTACACCATTTGCACATATGCGCTTTTACAACACGGCTACAGCTGTCAGTGTCGAAAATATCGGTGACTTTGTTCACAGGACAATTTCCATGCGCCTCTTTGGCCGATTGTGGCGTTCGACATTCCGTGCAATAGAATTGCATTTCGTTGGTATGCTTCAGCACATGCTCTTTCCAACTGTCATAGGTCATTGAGGTTAAATTCTTTTCACATAAGAAACAAAACGCATTGATCAATCCATCTTTGCATATCGAGCAATCACTTCGGCGTAACATTCGCGGAACCATATGTGGTGACAGACGCGATACGAACACATTCGATGTGTCAACTGGTTGCTCGGTGTTGTAGTTTTTGGGTGTGCCATTATCAATATAGACACTGGGTATGGTATCGTTTTGATAAAGAACAAACTGGGATTGAATACTTTGAACTGAAGTGTCGCATACTCGATCCAATTGATCGCATTCAGGCACACCGTCTTCTGGACGCGAGTCGTTTGTTACCTGTTGATCGATATCTGAGGAAGAGAGACAATTGATTGATGAATTTTGTATGGAAAATTGATAAAGAAGAACGATTTTTTTAGATTGAAAAGAAAAGACGAATGAAAAACAGCCAAAGACATGAGATCCGTCATTCAATAAACTCAACATACCTTCCTCCATTTTGACTTCTTTTCCACCCTCATTTTCACATTCTTTTCCTCCATCGTTACCACCTTCTTCCTCTTCGCCTTCGTGTCCGTCTTCTTTTCCATCCCGTTCTCTACTTTCTTCCATTTCTCGTGATATCTTCCGCTTTTTGCTCCTCCCATCACCTACTTCCAATGCTTCGGCTTCTTTACGCTTTAGTAAATTCAGCTCGCATTGCATCGGAGCAGAAGCTTCGAATCCCAAAAACGGTACTTCTTCCGAACTAGTGGAACTGTCCACCTGCGAGCAATTGCTGATTGTCTCTTCTTCAGGCAAATTGGTTTCGCTTTTTAAAGCTGGTTCGGTACTGTGTTCATTTTCAGGTGTAGCTAATGGACTTTCTGGAGTCACAACCTGATTGCTCTCTGGAGATTCATCACGATTTTTGGATTCATCCATATTTACTGAACTTGAGGCTATCTCGTCAGTTTGTTCATTTGTCACCTTTTCAACGGCATTACTTTGTTCATTTATGACCTTTTCAACGGTGTCAGTATGTCCATTTTCTACCTTTTCAGTGTCGTCAGTATGTCCATTTTCGACCGTTTCAATATCATCAGCTCGTTCATTTGTGTTGTTGGGCATTTCTTCATTAGCGTTGCTTAGAATTTCCGCTATAGCCGCTTCGATGCTTTCTTCCACTGTTTGTGTCTTTTCAACGGCTGAAGCTACCTCAACAACCGGTGTTTCTTCTTTGACTGATGCATCCGTCGAACTGGTGTTTGAATCATTGGTTGTAACACTGATGAGAAGAACGTCACTTGAATCGTCTGGACTAGTTTCATTTGCATTGTCGGCCGCAGCATTCAGCGATGCTAAATAAACCAGTTGGGCCTTTCGCAACGTTTCATTCATTCTAAATGAGACAGAAAATAGGGCATTTACTTTGGAAGACACAAAAACACTTTGTTTTCTTCTTCATTGGAAATGATTATGTTTACTTTGGAATGCGTTTGTTTAGCGTGTCTTAATCAACGGCGATTTGTTTAGTTTATCACAATTGACTGTACTGTGTACAGTGCCAAAAAAGTAACACATTTGTTTATTATTCGCATCAAATATTTAAATAAACAAAACTGATTCGCAATGCGATGGATGAACAAATTCAACGAAAAAGAGTAAATCGAGATATGTGCCGATAATTTGGTTGTTTTTCAATAGCCGACTAACAGAGAATAAAAAATGTTGCATTCACTTACCGATTTTTGAGTACTTCAAAAAAACACGAAGCAAATGCTGGATTCATTGGCGGTGTCGTTGCCTCGAAAGCCGCAACCGTTTTTTCAATCTCACTCTCAATGCCGACCTCGTACATGAGCAGAATCTGATCGAGATTTTCCTTCATATCCTCCATTATGCTAACGATTGAAAAAAATGGAATAAAAAAACATGGTCTTAGTTCATTTTGCACAATCATTCTGGTTGACAGGACAAAGAATTTATTAAAAACCATGGCTTTTGGCGAGTAATGCTGCCTGTGTGACTTCCAATCACACTTTTGCTTTTCTTCTTTAGGTCTAGTGAATGCGCAATTTTTTCCTGACACTTGATTTTCCCTTTCTGACACTTTTCTTCGCCTTTTTCTCTCTCTAACGCATTTATTCGTAGCGTAAAACATCAAATAGCCTAGAATATATGTCCACACTTACCTAACAAATCGCTATTTCACAATAGTTTAATCCGATTGCATGCACTTGTTATCACGGTCACAATTTGGCTCTTTTTTCGATCAGTTTTTCACTATTTTTTTGTCGTATCAAAATGCAAAATTCACAATATTTCTATTACACTCAGAAAAAAATAACTGTTGTCGTAGTAATTGATTTCTATAGAATTTTCGGTTTTCAAACAAATTTCGTGTATGTAATATGGATCGTTCAATACACCATGCAACCAGCACCATGCAAACTCCATTTGATAATGAAAATTATGCAAAGACATGCGACGACTTGATGCTGTTCCGCTTACCAAACACAAGGCGCTACAAACACATAGACAGCTGTTTGAGTCAATACGTTAGCGCCAATTTGTGAACTGTCAAAGTGCTGAATATGACAATCGGTCGAGTGTGCCAGTGATTTTAATTGTTGACACATTAAATATGCAACCAATTTAAATGGGAACGGAGAAAAAATGTTTCGGTCATGTGATGAGAAAAATTGTTCGTGAGCAAATTTTCTCTCTCAAGAAGAATGGGTGCTACAATGTAGAATTGTTACATATTTGTAGGGTGTGATTTTTGTCGAATTTAGTCTTTGGTTGGAATAAAAAGAAGAGAAAAAAAAGAAGAAGGAGGATATAAGTACCGTGAAAGCCGGAAAGAGATGGAAAAATTGAACTCTTCGCGAGGATTCAAAGAATTGAAATTTTCAATGAAACAATTCGAAACCATCAAAAGGACTGTGAATACTGCACACTGACAAGAAAACATTTAATTTCGAAAAAGAAGATTAGATTTTATTTCCAGTACAATCAATATTGATTCTAAATCCGTTTTTTTGTTAACAAACAAAATAAAATTGATTCGGTCAATCGAGATTTAGACTTTCTTCAAGCGCAGCTAAATGCTTTGATTTATCGACCAAATCAATATGACGAGGAATGTTGAACTCCTTTCGAATCCAAACGAGTAGTTGAGCTATGAATCCCAGGCAAATTTCCTTTGTCCTGGAAACGATAGAAAATTGAATGGCCATATCTTATGTCTTATGACTGATTGAATGGTTTATGGCTTTGGTAGTGGCACTTTAAACTCTTCTTAATGCCTAATTTAGGTCTTTTAAAAAATGTTTTTTTGTCAAGTAGTTGAAAATTTTAAAATTTTATATTCATTCTTCAAACCAAGATTTTTAAAACTCCAAATTTTCACCGTGATTTACATTTTTATACTTACAATTTCTCCGATGCATTCAATTGGTCGATCATTTTGCTTGCATCGAATGGAGCTGACAACATTTGCACTTTGAGCTCATTGAATATTCCACCAACCGCTTCGACATTATTCCGAATGATGGAATCGATCTCGTTAATCCATTCGCTGTTGTTCATTTTTGCTAATTCAATCGTTGTTCAGCTGGAATTTTTTTTTAAAATTTTCGCGAAGTATTAAATTTAACGATAAATAAAATTTATTGAAAAATTTCGATAAAAAAAAAATAGAAACAAGTCAAACTCACTGCACTTTACCTCGGTTCCGTAATCGTCGAACTTCAAATCCAATGAAATTTTTTGCAAAATTAGGTTTTGTCAGTGTTTTATTTTTGATGTTATAGTTCTTTGATTGAGATAATCTCAGTAGCTCAGTACTCATGAACATTGCAATGCTTTAGCTTCGAATCGATGTTCATATGACGAATGAAAAGTGATTTTAACTGGCCAACTTTATGTGTGGTCTCAAACACAAATAAAATCGCTTTAATCTACATGAATTTCATGTCTGACTCATTCAACGTCTGTTTGTAAATGTTTTTGAAAATCTCCTGTTCAGTGCATTGAAAATTGAAAGCAGATCGTAATATAGTGGAAATGGTGCTTCTTTCGCCAAAAAATTCTTTCAGCCGTTATTTCAAATTCAAAATTTTATTGTTTCAGTTCCATTTTATTTTTGAACAAAAATTTCAAACTTTTTGTATAACAACGAATCGATTTAGGTTTTTTTTACATGAAAATATTAACCGTACTTAAAGTGAGGCTAAAACAAATTACACTAAATAGGTTCATTTTGTCCAAGTGGTCGACTGGGTAATCCAATCCCAGTAATTTCCATGAAGATACAAAATATTTGCACCTTGCAAATTATTGATCAAATTAAGCATGTTTGAAATCTGTGTTTGTTATTGGACATATTTTCACATTCAAAATAAACTTTTTGCGACTTTCAAAGCAAAATCAGTTTTTCGTAGTCAGTTTAAGCTTAGAGTTTGTAACCAGATGAGATTAGCGTCTAGAAATCGCTTCTCTGTTATTCGATAGAATAACATCAGCGCATAAATTTTACTTTAAATCGATTTTTACGTATTTATGAGGTAGCTTTGAACTTAGTATTCTATTTACTGTACGCATACTTAGGATTCAGGCGAGTCGCGATTGTTTGAATAGAATTTTTTTAATATTTTCAAATGTAAGTCAAAATTTTATGTTGAAATAATTCGGAGAATGAATGCAGAAGTAATGGAAAAATGTGTGAATCAAAATGAACCGTTGAAATCAGTTGATATGATTAGAATGGTTGAACAATCGCAATTCACCTGTGCATATCGCTTAATGGGAACATCAAAATATTTTTTTGTTTTTCAATGCCAATGCAATAACTTGCATTTTTTTTCTTATTAGAATATGAATTATTGGTTGGTTTCGATGCGACTATAGTCGTCTTGAACCAAAAATCATTCGAATCCGCTTCGTGTCATTCAGAAATCCCGAAGGTCAGCATCCAATGGATCGTCAGATCCATTTGCTTCTTCAGCATCTACACATTCGCCCTGAAAGAAACCGATTCATGCATGAACAATAATGTGTTCTTTATTTGAATTTCAAGAGAACTTACATTCTCTGGTGGACTGAATGTTGCACCGTCATTTACTGCGAGTGCAGAGCCATTTGATAACGTTGCAACTAGCGATTGAACGTCAATGTTAGCCTGAAATGTGGATAAAGTTTGTTAATTAGGTAATGAAAACCTGAACGATCTAAATCTAGCAATTGAATCAAAGAAAAAATGTTCCAAAACTATGGTTCTTTCTCCATAGGTTGCATCTAAAGCAATGAATCATTGGAAATGTGAAATGATAATGAAATACCTCATTGCCTGATGATTGCACCGTTGAATTCATC